CTCCTGGTTTCTCTGTTTAACGTGGAGTGGGGATGCTATGTGTGGGTTGGGGGTATGGAGGTGCTGGAGTTTTGCCTCTTCTTGGTGGTTTTTCCTGCAAGGTGTATTTCCAGTGTCTCTCCAAGATTTTACTTTAGGAAGCACTCGTTCTGCTTCCTCCCTCTAGTCACCATCTTGGAATCTCCCTTTTCTATCTTCCTCTTTTCATTATGTGTCAATTTATTATACATTAAAAATAGAGAGATGAATGAGACACAGGTATCAAACTCCTCTCCTCAGGCTCCCTCCAAAGTTAACAGTCTAGTGATAGAGCCAGACAAAAAAAGAACAATGATTCCACAGAGGGACAAGAATGATAGTATATAGAAGAAGCACAGAAGGTTATGACTGTAAAGAAGAGGACTCTACTCAGGTCAGGGCCAGGAGGTAATTAGGGAAGCTTGTGGGAAAAAGAGTGTTTGTGTTCAATGTGAAGGAAGTAAAATGGAGCCACTGGTCTCCCAGTAATACAAAAAAGGCATTTTGAGGAAGGAAAGAGTCTGTGGGAAGCATGGAAGCACAATAGGGCCTGGTGCATTCAGGGAACTACAGGTGCTTGATGTATATGGCAAATACAGGAGGGAGACAAGGTGACAGGAGTGAATATGACTTTGTCAAGATAATTTAGTTAACAAATTTGGCAGCTAGGCTTTCCCTAAGCATGTTGAACATGAGAAGACTATTCAGGATGAAGGGTGTTTGAAACCTTGCTGCAACATGGTAACCCTCAAGGCCAGACATATCATCAACAGCTGACTATTTGTTAGAAATGCAGAATCCCAGAACCTATTCCTGTGACTTACTAGAGCTTGAGAAACAATGGTTTAGAGCATAAATCCTGGCTCTTCCTTCCTCTGGCTGTGACCTTGGTCCTGTCACCTGCCTCCTCTGGACATCAAAATCATCGGCAATAAAGCTAAGAATATTAACCCAGTGGATCCTAGTGACAGTTCTAGCTCTAAGGTGTGTATGTGTGTGTGTGTGTGTAATTCTAGAGGACATTTTCTTTTCTCTTTTTTAATGTTTTTATTAGTATATGATAGTTACACATAGGGTATTGGTGTGATTTATATATCTGTGGATATATATATATATATCCACAGTTTAGTTTATCCCCTACATTAATCTCTCTTTTCACCCACTCCCCTTCATGAAATGACTTTGACAGGTTTGAATGTTCCATATTCATACATGTATAGAAAGTACTGCAACCATATTCATCCTCCTTTACCATCTTCATTTTTCCCTCCCCACTAGTACCCTCTCTGTAACATAATCTAGGAGATACTTTCCAAACTGGTTAACATATCCCTGATCCTTGGATGATGCACTGTTTAGAAGTATGCTCCCTAGCCTGTGACTAAAAGAGAAGATTATCAGGAGCTGCAAACTTGCACATAAAGCACATTAGCTAGGAAACCAGCCCTGCAAACATTCACTACTTGCTGAAGTTGGACTCATACAGGGAGGAACAAAGAGGCTCCCTTTTGCTTCTTTCCACCAACAATCATGCTTTTTTTTTTTTTTAATGGAATAAAAAGGGAAAAAGAGGCTAATGTAAGGGACTAGACCCAGAAACAAATAATTCCACAAGTTCTTACCTGGCTGCTTAGTGAGGACAATTAAGTGTGTGTGTGTGTGTGTGTGAGTGTGTGTGTGTGTGTTTGTGTTCATGTGCATTCAGTGGAGGAGTACTGGTTGTGGTGACAGTGGCTTATAGCTTAAAAGGCCTAACTAAGAGAAGAAGTTTCAACTGTCTGAAGAGATGGTCACAAGAACTTCACTGCATTTTCCAAATAGCATCCTTAACAGATCTATGTAAAGGGTATAAAAATGTGTCTAAACAGGTTGTACTAAAGGATAAAGGGAGTGGTGGATACAAAGCAAGATTCTTGTCCTATCCTGCAGAGACTCAATAGTTAGCCTGCTGAAGCCCTTTCCTTCTTTTTTCCTTTTTTGTGGTATAGGGGCTTGAACTCAGGCCCTACACCTTGAGTCACTCCACCAGTCCTTTTTTTTGTTTGTGAGGGGAAGGGTTGTTTTCAAGATAGGTTGAACTATTTGCTCAGTCTGGCTTCAAACCGCAATCCTCTTGATCTCTACATCCTGAGTAGCTAGGATTATAGGCAATGAGACATTGGCACCAGGATCTTACTTTTGAGAAGTAGAGTAGTTCTTTTTTTTTAATTTTTATTATTCATTTATTCACATGTGCATATATTGTTTGGGGCATTTCTCCCCCCTTCCCTGCTCCCCCAACCTCTCTCCCTCCTCGCTTCCAGGCAGAAACTGTTCTGCCCTTATCTCTAATTTTGTTGAAGAGAAGACATAAGCATAATAAGGAAGACAAAGTTTTTGCTAGTTGAGTTAAGGATAGCTATACAGAGAGATTCCTAGCATTGCTTTCAGTAGAGTAGTTCTTGTATAGAAGAAGCATACCCCTGACCTTGGCCACCACACACAGCAAAGAACTTTGCCCTCTACACAGTGCTATCACCATGGTAACTGTTTAATGAGTTTTCCACACAAGCTTCCCATACTCTTGTGAATGGAGAGATTTATGAAGTTCCAAAGAAAAAGACCATTCCACATGTAAGGAAAAGCAGAGGACTGGAGGTAAGGAGACCTGAGTTCTAATCCTACCTCTGCTTCTAACTTCCTTTGTAACCTTGGCAAATCCTTTTCTATCCTCACTCCTCTTTCCCTCCTTGTAAACAAGAACTAATGTTTATTGAGTACCAATTACAAATGAGATATTGTCCATACAATAAACATTTAGTGTAAATAAAACAGTGTGTTTTGAATGTAAGTACTAACACACACTGTTGAATGGCAAATTTCTATCTACAGCTAAAACCATCTCCTTGAGTTATAGGTCTGTAATGAACTCTTACAATTTTGTGCTGCCTTGGTTCCATTCTGAATGCAAGTTTACCTTTTTGTGCCATAAGCAGGGTTAAGACAATTTTGATACCATTTGTACCTTTATACATTCTTTCAGGTACTCAATATGGTCAATCCAAATATCTTCCAGATATTAGGAATGACAGAACAAAAGTGGCTGACTGTGCCTGGGCATTAAAAGTAGAACACTACACCCAAATGGCTCAAGCTGGTGGTCAGATAAGAACTAGAGGCCATCCTTTCCCATCAGCAGATTGAGCTCTTGCCTTCCTGCCACTTCCTTTAAATGGATCGTTTGAATATTTTCTGATGAATTTAAAGTGATCCATACCTTATTCTCTAATACATATTCCTAGGTGCCCTCACCCCTACCTCCCATCTCTTCTTCTGCCTGACTTCATTTCAGTCTTTTGTGATGGGGGATGGAGGACCATCCTCCTGACTATTATACTCTCCCTGCTGTAAGGTCTGTATGCAATAAATCTATGAACTTATTTCTTATTGTGGGGGAAAATAAATGTGTGTCTTTCATATGCAGAACAGGACTACCCCAAGCTGTGTTTTCCCCAAGAAGCTAGGAAGAAGACAAAGTTGAGTTCTCCAAACCAGAAAAATGGTCAAGCAGAGATGAACAAGACATAGGCTAGACAAGAGACATAAGGGCATCTTCCATGTAAACAAGTTTCTCATATGACAGAGATCCTGGTCACAGAAATCATTCAGAAATCTAGAAATCATTCAGTCCACAAGGTAAAAGGTATATCCGGTGGAAGGCATACTGAAATTACACCAATATCCCCTTCATTTCCCATTAGGGCAAGGTTGCTAGCCACTCTGACACTAGACACCAATGTAGCCAGGAGTTCTCAAGACAGGAGTTCAGTAGTCAGGAAGTCATATCCAAATCACTGTTCTTTATCTCCCTCAATCAACCCAGACCCTTCCATGACATCTCTTGACTCAGGAAATGATAACTTCATTTATCCCCCCGTCAGACTGAACAATTTACAATTGTCTTTGACTCTACCTTTGTTTCTCACATTCCATACTCAATAGCAAATTCCATCAAAACTATATTCAAAATCATACTGAGTCTGATCATTTCTTACCACTTTCTCTCTTTATCCCCATGGTCCAAGCCACTACTAACTCTTTCTTAGATTAGAATAAATAGGATACTGAACATCTCCTAAACTGATTCCCCACACAGCAGCCAGGATGGTCTTGTTAAAATATAGACCATATTACATGGCCTCTTTGTTCAGAATCTTCCAATGACATTCCATGACACATGGAAAAAACATCCAAAATCCACATCATCCTACACCAAGCCCAAAACCACCCCTACCCCAAAACCTTCTGCTCCCCAGACTTTACCTCCTATTCCTCTCCTCTCTCACTTTCGTCCAGCCATCCCCAACTTCTTGCCAATGTTGAACAAATGATCTATTTGTAGGCTTATGCTGCAGAGGACTGACTCTTTCAGGTCCCTCTGCCTAGAACATGCTCCGCTCCTGCCAGATATTGACATGGTATTCCCATCTTAAGGAACCTACTCAAATGTAACCTCAGAGAGGCCTTCCTTGACTACTCTCTTAGTGAAAACTCCTCCCCAATTCCCTACTGGGTACTCCATATGTTTTGCCCTCTGTTATCCCCCAACACCAAATATATTTACTTGTGTACTTTTTTCTATTGCAGCATTGTCCAATAGAACTTTCCAAATGCTCTATATTTATGTTATATAAGAAAATAGTCAATATTCACATGAGGTTATAGAATGCTTAAAATCTGGTTAGAGTGACTAGGGATATGAAGACTTTTCACAAAGACTTAATTTTATTTCATTTTCATCAATTTAAAATAAATAGGCACCTACATTGTGGGTACCATATGAAACCCCCACTCAAGTATAAGCTTCACTAGGCAGAGATTTTGCATATTTTGTCTTTCATACCAAACAACATACCTGGCTTTTAAAAAAATACCTGTTGAATGAATGCATAAATGAATATCCTCCCCCACCCTCTATTCCAGTCCCATACTCCATTGCTTACCGGTTTCTGGGTCACAGAGTTGCTCACAGGCATCTGTTGTCCTTTGCCCACAGAGATCCCTCACCCATGGTGAAGTGGCATTGATCTGATAATACAGTGACAGCTTGGCAGGGTTTAACCAGTCAGAGATGTCCAGGTAGCTTCCTTCACTCACTACGAAGCTGCTCCCTATGGGTGAACAGAGAGAGATAGCTACTTTCTTCCCATTTCAGAGTTTCACTACTCATGCTTTTAGAACAGAGGTATATGCAAGCCACCATCCCCTTATCTGATTTTATTCAACTAAAAACATTTATAGAACATTTACACTGTGCCAGTATAGTGCCAGGAGTCAACAGAGCAGGAACAAATAAGACACAAGACAGAGTTTAGCCTAGTGATTAAAGGTAGGCCCTTAAGATTGAGGGAGACATGGGTTCAGATCCTGGATTTGCCCTCACTAGCCACTGACTTTGGGAAAGTCATTTAATGCCTTTTGGCCTTGACTACTTCACCAGCAAATATTAATGAGACCCACCTCAGCTGAGAGAATGAAATAGATTAATTCTGATAAAGTGTTTAGGCAGTGCCTGACCTGGTCTAGTATAGAATAATTAAATGTTAAATTTTAAAAACAAAAAGCTAATGTTCCTGTCATGCAGGCATCCCTTCTGGAATAGGAGTCACTAATGCCCACAATGACTGGATCAATGATACTTATGGGAGAGACTGAGCGTAAAAAAAATGTATGTATAAGCTTAGGACTCCTACCCTATCTTGTGTTGTTTTTGTTGTTGTTGTGTTGGTGGTTCTGGGGATCAAACCCAGGGCCTTGCATGTAGTAGGCAAGCTCTCTAACACTGAGCAAAATTTCTAAGCCCATTTTTTTCTTTATTTTGAGAGAGATAAAGAGGTAGAACTGGAGATAAAGATAGAGACACAAAGAAATTTTCAAAGACATCTTTAGGATCTTTAAGAAAAAAACAGTGCTCACACACCAAAAAAATGTCTTGATGCTAAGAAACAATAGGGAGAGGTGGGGTTTAGTACAAAAGAGACACCATAAGCTCCATCAAAGTGGAGCAGCTATAAAGAAATGCCAGCCAAAGACACATGGGACTAAAACCCAGTAACACCATACTAGATTTTCCTCAGGAGAGGCTGAAGATTAAATTTTTATTACAATCAATTTTTCAATGATGACTTAAATATGTTCCTGAAATTTTTTTAAGTAGGCCAAACAAAAGCCTTTAGCTTTGCAATCTTTGCTCTGAAATGCTTCTCATTAATTCATATGGACAAATGATAGATAACATACATAAATACAGATAAATATACATGTATATATGCTAATATATTGTATATTATCAATTGCAATGCAATAATTATATAGTTATAAAATTATAATGCAAACATAAGTATTCTGCACACATACATATGCACACACAATTCTGGGGACACAAGAAACAGAAGATCATTAAGGATGTCTACATTGGTTTATAAATGCTGAGTACATGTATGTAGCAATAAAGCAAAGCAAAGGTTGAATTTTGTAGGTTGGGAAACATGAGTCCAAGTTGGACATGAGTGGTTTTGGATTCATGGCAGATCTAGGAACCTCCTCTAATGGGGACATAAAGTTATGTTTCCTAAGTAACATGACTCAGCCTCTCTTCTGTATCTGTCTCTCTGCCTCACTATCAATCAAATACATCTTTCTGATGATGAAATCCAAATTCCACAAAGAGGGATCCATTAATAAGCATTGGATGAGTTTACAAGGACTTCTCTGTTAGTTCATATCAGATTCTACTGTTGATCTATATAATTGGACTTTTCTTGTTGACTGTGGTGGTCCAATGGTAAATACTCAGGAAAGTGGGATCACATCAGACCATGCTTGGCTGCTGGCACATGAGGCTATGGATGGATAAGTTCCCCTGGAAAGAGTAAGGTCATAGTAGATTATGCTCATCTTCTCTAACTCACACAAATATGATAATTTATATTATCTCATATAATGAGTTCATATGTAAAACCATACCAGACAACATGATTTTCTGTGCAGATGCAAAAGGTGTCTATGTGAAGCAGAGGGAATAGATAGCATCAAGCTCTGAGATAAAGAAATGACCACATTTGAAGTTGGCCCTAAAGTCCTTGACAGTCAAAGCAAAAAAGAGGAGGAGTCTTTTGCATTCCATATTTCAAATTTCTGGCAAGCAAAGATATGCAAATCTCTCTGCAAAGCCATATTTCCCCTGCTGGAACAAAGCCCAAGCAGAAACATGTCACATGGGTCCATGAGCAAGGCACCGAACATCAGTATTAACTACAGATTTTTATTTTAAAAAGCACAGTCATGCTGTTTAAATGGATAATTCTTGTATTTATTCTCACTGAAGACTGAGGGATGGATATTGAATTGTGTCCCAGGGCTGAGTTTGGTTAATCCCACTACTTTAGGAAAGCTATACAATATAGTTATTAAGAGAACAGTCAACAAGATATGAGTTCAGATCCTCACTTTATTACTAACTTTGTAAATGTGGGCAAGAAAACCAACCCTCAACTACCACATATGAAAAGCACAGACCCTGATTCCCTCTTCATAGGGTTGATATAAAGATTAAATGAGACAATGCATTGGTCTTAGGTCAAGGTTACCAGCAAACAGATTCAAAGATAGTCACTGGCATATGGGGGGTTTGTGGGGCAGCAGAAGAAGTCAAACTGTCGTGTGGTTGTAGCAAAGCCCTCTGCTGATCCCATGGGAAGCTCTGGAGCTTAACGGTCCTTCAGAGTTGTTTTAAATCAAAGTGGGCATTTGTACCTCTACATTAGTCAGCCGTAGGCTGAGAGCTATCCCTGGGGAATGGACATAATCTTGGATGAAACAGCCCTTTTCTGTGGAGGACACTGTTCCAAGAAGGATTCACTGGAGAGGGGCCACCCACCAACAGTCTTGGAAGCTGGGGGAATAAGTGCTGTGGTGATAACTGGAGATCAGGGTGCAGCACCACAATATCCACTGACGTAGGTGAAGTCCTGGACATATTATGAAATCTGCTAACTGGAGCTATTTTGGTTATAATTTGGATTTATTATGAACTTGGAAGCTATAAATGCAATACCAGTTAGCAGATTTCAAATATGAGAAATGAGCTTCCTTGGAGGGGCTTGACTTGAAAGTAGGTACAATATACTAAATGTTTGTGTCCCCCAAATTCATATATTAAAGCCTTATTCCCAATGTGGTGTTTGAGAGGTTGAGCTTTTGGGAGTGATTAGGTCATGGAGTGGAGCCCCTGGAATGGATTACTGTTTTTAATAAAAGACACCCCCAGAAAGCTCCCATGCCTCTTCCATCATGTGAGGACACAATGAGAAGGTAGTCTTGTATGAAATAGGAAGTAGGCCCTCATCAGATACTGCATCTGACAGTACCTTGACCTTGAACCCTCCAGCCTCTAGAACTATGACATATGTATTCTGGTGTTATAAGCACTAACTCAGCAGGTTATCCTAACTTCTTGAAAGATAGTGATGAGAGATGTACAGTTGGTTTAGTGGCAGAAGGGAGCTACAATCCTTTCAATGTCCTCTCTACTCATCACTGGATGAATGTGTGACACATTGTGCCACTTAGTTTTACAACAACCTTGTAGCATAAGTATTTCCCTATTTTACAGAAGGAAACATGAAGTTCAGAGAGAAGTCAAACTGGCTAAATTGCATAATTAGTAAGTGGTAAAGTTGAAAACAAAAGCAAGATTTTTCAGCCTCTAAAGTTGGGACCTTCCTATTATTCCAGGTTGTCTTGAGAATCAGGACATTGGTTGGGTAGATTTTTGTGGTCTTTTCCTTACCCTATAGCAGTCTGTGTATTCTTTGTACTATAGTGTAGTGTTAGAAGGTCTTTGTTTTCTCTGATAGACTGTGATTTCCTCAGGCATCAGGTCATGACTCATTAGCCTTTCAATCTATCTTTCAGCAAAATGCCTGTCATAGGCCAGGAATTTATGATGTCAAGTGCATAATGAATCAAAAGCTCCATGTTGACTAGAGGGAATATCAACTTCATTTCACCATAGGATTGTGAAGCAGAAATGCTGCCACATTGATCTCAAAGTTAATTTTTTTTTATCCTATGTAAGTCAGATAACAAAACAGCCTTTTAATATCTCCAGTCCCAAACTAAAACTTGAGCTTTACTGTGGTGCTCCTAAGCTCTTATTCACCCCACAGGGTTGGAGTATTGATTTCTAAAATAGAGACTCAGGTAGAGATGCTCATGTGAAGAGTAAGGAGTTATGAGGAGATTGCCATATCAGGTAGTGAAGAAAGTGATTTGTGCCAAGTTTAATGTGTTCATTTAACCAACACTTAGTATACTCTTTCCTGTGTAAGAAATAGAAATGGCTGGAATCCATTGAGGATTACTGTGGGCTAAATAAATGGAGATTGAATGTGTGCAGAGTTACAACAAACCAAAGTTGGTGAACTGCTTAGGATGGGTAGACATTGTCTTTGGATACAAGGCAAAGTAAAGGGAGAGATCAGAGAGGAGCTTGGAGAATTGGCCTTTAAAATAGACCTTGAAAAATAGTGGAGGAGAAAAGTAACTGGATGGAAATAGAGGTAAAGGAACTAAGCATAATGAACTTTCTCCTTCGGCATGTAAGGCAATCTGTGTGGCGATTTTACTCCTTACATCTCAGCTCCAGACTGGCTCGTAACTCTTGTAATTCCTCTAATACTTCTGAGGACTTTACTTAGCTAGTACCAATATACGACAGGTAACAGATTCTCTCACTCAATATTATGTGCTACTGGTACTAAGCTCTGTACTAGGCTCTAGTGAATAAAATTGGTATCAATGAGAATTTATAGCCCAGGAACCAGATCATATGGCAAATCAAAGGTAAAGCGTAAGTGTCCACTCCTCCATTCCCTTCACTTATTGTGTCATCTAGATTTTGTAATCGTTGAAGGCAAAGGCCATGCTGCATTTAACTCAGCATAGTTCTCAGGGTATTGATGGAGGTCAGAAGGTGTTTTTATGTGGGTGATTGAGCGAAGAATGAAAGAAATGGGAAGGCAGGAGGAAAAGTTAACACTATTCAGGTTAAAGAGGTCAAACAGTTCTCTGAAAATTGTAGCATTTCTGGGAATAAAAAACTACACAG